ATGTGGCAATAGGATCAATAATCACTTTGATATCTTCAGTGCTGTGTGCATGTGGCAATAGGATCAATAATCACTTTGATATCTTCAGTGCTGTAGGCATGCATGTGGCAATAGGATCAATAATCACTTTGATATCTTCAGTGCTGTGTGAATGTGGCAATAGGATCAATAATCACTTTGATATCTTCAGTGCTGTAGGCATGCATGTGGCAATAGGATCAATAATCACTTTGATATCTTCAGTGCTGTAGGCATGCATGTGGCAATAGGATCAATAATCACTTTGATATCTTCAGTGCTGTAGGCATGAATGTGGCAATAGGATCAAAAATCACTTTGATATCTTCAGTGCTGTAGGTATGCATGTGGCAATAAAATCAATAATCACTTTGATATCTTCAGTGCTGTAGGCATGAATGTGGCAATAGGATCAAAAATCACTTTGATATCTTCAGTGATGTAGGTATGCATGTGGCAATAGAATCAATAATCACTTTGATATCTTCAGTGCTGTGTGAATGTGGCAATAGGATCAAAAATCACTTTGATATCTTCAGTGCTGTGTGAATGTGGCAATAGGATCAATAATCACTTTGATATCTTCAGTGCTGTAGGCATGCATGTGGCAATAGGATCAATAATCACTTTGATATCTTCAGTGCTGTAGGCATGCATGTGGCAATAGGATCAATAATCACTTTGATATCTTCAGTGCTGTGTGAATGTGGCAATAGGATCAATAATCACTTTGATATCTTCAGTGCTGTAGGCATGCATGTGGCAATAAGATCAATAATCACTTTGATATCTTCAGTGCTGTGTGAATGTGGCAATAGGATCAATAATCACTTTGATATCTTCAGTGCTGTAGGCATGCATGTGGCAATAAGATCAATAATCACTTTGATATCTTCAGTGCTGTGTGAATGTGGCAATAGGATCAATAATCACTTTGATATCTTCAGTGCTGTGTGAATGTGGCAATAGGATCAATAATCACTTTGATATCTTCAGTGCTCTAGGTATGCATGTGGCAATATGATCAATAATCACTTTGATATCTTCAGTGCTGTAGGCATGCATGTGGCAATAGGATCAATAATCACTTTGATATCTTCAGTGCTGTAGGCATGCTTGGGCAATAGGATCAATAATCACTTTGATATCTTCAGTGCTGTAGGCATGCATGTGGCAATAGGATCAATAATCACTTTGATATCTTCAGTGCTGTAGGCATGCATGTGGCAATAGGATCAATAATCACTTTGATATCTTCAATGCTGTGTGAATGTGGTAATAGGATCAATAATCACTTACATATCTTCAGTGCTGTAGGCATGCATGTGGCAATAGGATCAATAATCACTTTGATATCTTCAGTGCTGTAGGTATGCATGTGGCAATAGGATCAATAATCACTTTGATATCTTCAGTGCTGTAGGCATGCATGTGGCAATAAGATCAATAATCACTTTGATATCTTCAGTGCTGTGTCAATGTGGCAGTAGGATCAATAATCACTTTGATATCTTCAGTGCTGTGTGAACGTGGCAATAGGATCAATAATCACTTTGATATCTTCAGTGCTGTGTGAATGTGGCAATAGGATCAATAATCACTTTGATAACTTCAGTGCTGTGTGAATGTGGCAGTAGGATCAATAATCACTTTGATATCTTCAGTGCTGTGTTAATGTGGCAATAAGATCAATAATCACTTTGATATCTTCAGTGCTGTAGGTATGCATGTGGCAATAGGATCAATAATCACTTTAATATCTTCAGTGCTGTAGGCATGCATGTGGCAATAGGATCAATAATCACTTTGATATCTTCAGTGCTGTAGGTATGCATGTGGCAATAGGATCAATAATCATTTTGATATCTTCAGTGCTGTAGGCATGCATGTGGCAATAGGATCAATAATCACTTTGATATCTTCAGTGCTGTGTGAATGTGGCAGTAGGATCAATAATCACTTTGATATCTTCAGTGCTGTGTGAATGTGGCAATAGGATCAATAATCACTTTGATATCTTCAGTACTGTGTGCATGTGGCAATAGGATCAATAATCACTTTGATAACTTCAGTGCTGTGTGAATGTGGCAATAGGATCAATAATCACTTTGATATCTTCAGTGCTGTGTGCATGTGGCAATAGGATCAATAATCACTTTGATATCTTCAGTGCTGTAGGCATGCATGTGGCAATAGGATCAATAATCACTTTGATATCTTCAGTGCTGTAGGTATGCATGTGGCAATAGGATCAATAATCACTTTGATATCTTCAGTGCTGTAGGCATGCTTGGGCAATAGGATCAATAATCACTTTGATATCTTCAGTGCTGTAGGCATGCATGTGGCAATATGATCAATAATCACTTTGATATCTTCAGTGCTGTAGGTATGCATGTGGCAATAGGATCAATAATCACTTTGATATCTTCAGTGCTGTAGGCATGCTTGGGCAATAGGATCAATAATCACTTTGATATCTTCAGTGCTGTAGGCATGCATGTGGCAATAGGATCAATAATCACTTGATATCTTCAGTGCTGTAGGCATGCATGTGGCAATAGGATCAATAATCACTTTGATATCTTCAGTGCTGTGGGTATGCATGTGGCAATAGGATCAATAATCACTTTGATATCTTCAGTGCTGTGTGAATGAGGCAATAGGATCAATAAGCTTTTTGATATCTTCAGTGCTGTAGGCATGCATGTGGCAATAGGATCAATAAGCTTTTTGATATCTTCAGTGCTGTAGGCATGCATGTGGCAATAGGATCAATAAGCTTTTTGATATCTTCAGTGCTGTGTGAATGTGGCCATAGGATCAATAATCACTTTGATATCTTCAGTGCTGTAGGTATGCATGTGGCAATAGGATCAATAAGCTTTTTAATATCTTCAGTGCTGTGTGAATGTGGCAATAGGATCAATAATCACTTTGATATCTTCAGTGCTTTGTAAATGTGGCCATAAGATCAATAATCACTTTGATATCTTCAGTGCTGTAGGTATGCATGTGGCAATAGGATCAATAATCACTTTGATATCTTCAGTGCTGTGTGAATGAGGCAATAGGATCAATAATCACTTTGATATCTTCAGTGCTGTAGGCATGCATGTGGCAATAGGATCAATAATCACTTTGATATCTTCAGTGCTGTAGGTATGCATGTGGCAATAAGATTAATAATCACTTTGATATCTTCAGTGCTGTGCGAATGTGGCCATAAGATCAATAATCACTTTGATATCTTCAGTGCTGTGTGAATGTGGCAATAGGATCAATAATCACTTTGATATCTTCAGTGCTGTGTTAATGTGGCAATAAGATCAATAATCACTTTGATATCTTCAGTGCTGTGTGAATGTGGCAATAGGATCAATAATCACTTTGATATCTTCAGTGCTGTGTGAATGTGGCAATAAGATCAATAATCACTTTGATATCTTCAGTGCTGTGGGTATGCATGTGGCAATAGGATCAATAATCACTTTGATATCTTCAGTGCTGTGTGAATGTGGCAATAAGATCAATAATCACTTTGATATCTTCAGTGCTGTGGGTATGCATGTGGCAATAGGATCAATAAGCTTTTTGATATCTTCAGTGCTGTAGGCATGCATGTGGCAATAGGATCAATAATCACTTTGATATCTTCAGTGCTGTGTGCATGTGGCAATAGGATCAATAATCACTTTGATATCTTCAGTGCTGTAGGCATGCATGTGGCAATAGGATCAATAATCACTTTGATATCTTCAGTGCTGTGTGAATGTGGCAATAAGATCAATAATCACTTTGATATCTTCAGTGCTGTGCGAATGTGGCAATAAGATCAATAATCACTTTGATATCTTCAGTGCTGTAGGCATGCATGTGGCAATAGGATCAATAATCACTCTGATATCTTCAGTGCTTTGTGGGTGCATGTGGCAATAGGATTGATGATCACTTTAATATCTTCCAGGCTATGTGGATACATACTCATAAACTTTAATGGTCACCTGACCCCCCAGAAGTCTGTCATAGTGGTCAACCATATGGGAAGAGAACCGCAATGGATTTTTTGTCTTGAATCTTCGACACTGTTTTAATCAGCTATAAATTAATATGCTCATTTTTTTTTTTAATGTCAATCATTGTTTCTGTTTTTGCCCGCTACGAAATTGCAGAGGCGAATCCCTCCTTGAATATTGGATGTATTTCAGATGGCAGGTTGATATATTTGTGCAGTCAGTGTATGCCATAGTAATATCGGATGTTATGGTAGTATTGGATGCCATGGTAGTATTGGAAGACTTGGTAGTATTGGATGCCACGATAGTATTGGATGACATGATAGTATGGTATAGGAAGAAGTGGTACTATTGAAAGCCATTATGTATTGGAAGCCATTGTAGTATTTAATGACTTGGTAGTATTGGATGACAGGATAGTATTGGATGTCATGGTAATATTGGATGCTATGATAGTATTGGAAGCCATGGTAGTATTGGATGCCATGATATTATGGAAGCCATGGTAGTATTGGATGACTTGGTAGTACTGGATGCTATGGTAGTATTGGAAGCCATGGTAATATTGGAAACCATCTTAGTATTGGAAGCCATGGTAGTATTGGAAGTCATGGTAGTATTGGAAGCCAT